TGGCCCTATAGGCAGGTGGTCTTTAAAGACAGGTTGCTCATAAGTTATGCCTTGGGACTACCTAAAAGTGGCCCTATAGGCAGGTGGTCTTTAAAGACAGGTTGCTCATACTTTATGCCTTGGGACTGCCTAAAAGTGGCCCTATAGGCAGGTGGTCTTTAAAGACAGGTTGCTCATAAGTTATGCCTTGGGACTACCTAAAAGTGGCCCTATAGGCAGGTGGTCTTTAAAGACAGGTTGCTCATAAGTTATGCCTTGGGACTACATAAAAGTGGCTCTATAGGCAGGTGGTCTTTAAAGACAGGTTACTCATATGTTATGCCTTGGGACTGCCTAAAAGTGGCCCTATAGGCAGATGGGCTTTAAAGACAGGTTGCTCATAAGTTATGCCTTGGGACTGCCTAAAAGTGGCCCTATAGGCAGGTGGTCTTTAAAGATAGGTTGCTCATACTTTATGCCTTGGGACTGCCTAAAAGTGGCCCTATAGGCAGGTGGTCTTTATATAGAGCTGGTCACTATAAGCAGGTGGTCTTTGTATAGATTTGGTTACTATAAGCAGGTGGTCTTTATTTAGAGGTTGCCACTAACAAAAAGTTGACTGTACATATGTGTTCCTATTTTTAAATGTGTAAATGAATAATTACTTTCCTATGTACAGGTTAATTACAGTAATGTGCTGGCAGTGAATGGTGCAACTGCTCATGCCTTATATGATAGTGATGGTACAGTGTACAATATGGGAACTAAATATGGTCTATACAGTTCTTATAACATTATTAAAGTACCGCCCCCTGATAAAGGTGAGAATAAACAAAGCTATAATTCAATTATGTTTTACTGCATCTTTAGAAATAACATTTCTATCAGTATATGACAATAAAGTGTAAATATGTTGTCTACAGTTGTACTCATTTGGTAAGTAAATTTCTATTTTGTTTTTTCATTTATATGTAATATATATAAGCAGGTGGTCTTTGTATAGTAGTGGTCACTCTAAACAGGTGGTCTTTATATAGAGGTGACCAATTTAAGCAGGTGTTCCTTATATAGAGGTGGTCACTATAAACAGGTGGTCTTTATATAGAAGAGGTCACAATGAGCAGGTGGTTTTTTTAATAGAGTTGGTCACTATAGGCAGGTGGTCTTTATACAGAGGTGGTCACTTTAAGCAGGTGGTCTTTATATAGCGGTGGCCACTATAAACAGGTGGTCTTTATACAGAGGTGGTCACTTTAAGCAAGTGGTCCTTATATAGAGGTCACAATGAGCAGGTGGTCTTTATATAGAGGTGGCCGCTATAAACAGGTGGTCTTTATACAGAGGTGGTCACTTTAAGCAAGTGGTTCTTATATAGAGGAGGTCACAATGAGCAGGTGGTCTTTATATAGAGGTGGCCACTATAAACAGGTGGTCTTTATACAGAGGTGGTCACTTTAAGCAAGTGGTCCTTATATAGAGGAGGTCACAATGAGCAGGTGGTCTTTATATAGAGGTGGCCACTATAAACAGGTGGTCTTTATACAGAGGTGGTGACTTTAAGCAGGTGGTCTTTATATAGAGGAGGTCACAATGAGCAGGTGGTCGTTATATAGAAATGGCCACTATAAACAGGTGGTCTTTATACAGAGGTGGTCACTTTAAGCAGGTGGTCTTTATATAGAGGAGGTCACAATGAGCAGGTGGTCTTTATATAGAGGTGGCCACTATAAATAGGTGGTCTTTGTAGAGCAGTGGTCACTCTAGGCAGGTTGTCACTCTAGACAGATGTTCTTTATAAAAAGGAGGTTACAATAAGCAGGTGGTCTTTATATAGAGTTGATCACTTTAATCAGGTGGTCTTTATATAGAGCTAGTCACTAACCAATGTTTGACTTACACAATTTGTTTATCTGTAGGTGTGCAAGACAATCCACTGCAAAAAGCATCCATTGTTTGTACTATACCAATGTCTAACAAGCATCCCTCATATTATCATAGTTTTGGAATGACAGACAACTACTTCATATATGTAGAGCAACCACTTATTTTAAATATCTGGAAGCTAGTCATAATGAAGATCATGGGATATACGTTTGCGGACTGCATGGAGTTCCACAAAGACTGGCCAACACGTATTCATCTGTGTAATCGGGAAACCAGTCAGCTAACTGAGATCAAATACATAGCAGATGCACTATTTCTATTTCATCACGTTAATGCATATGAAGATAACGGCCACATGGTTATTGATATATTTGCATATGAAGATGACCTGATCATGAAAAGAATGTACATGAAAGTAGCACAAGATGGCCACGATCTGCCTCTCTCCCGGCCATATCGATTTGTTTTACCATTATATATACCAAAGGTACAATTTATTTTTATATCTTGATAACATTATTATATATGTAGCATGGTAAGGAATGGAATTTATCCCTCTTTAAAACTCTGCATAAAGATGTTCAAAAGTGTTACAGATACGTTTAATGTCTTTCTTATTTGGAAAATGTGCTTCATGTGTACATTTGAACACTTAGATTACTGTGAGTTTAGTATATGTACTTTTTAACTGAATGCTTTTGTTTGACTCGCATATAACACTCTTGGAGATCTAATTCTCAGATAGAAAATATTGTAATCTGCTTATTTTTGCTTTTAGAAACTGTCATGATTTTATGTTTTTATTGCATCCTTAAAGATAAAAATTCATGAAAATTTAAAATTTGAATGGAAATAACCAATACAGTTTCCAAGTATGTTTGTTTTATTGCATAGTTATTAGATGTTATGGCAACCATGTTTGTTGTATTGTGTAATTGTCAGATGTTATGTGATATACTGAACATGTCTTCTAATGTCTGCAGAATACTAAGGTTGGAGTCAACTTAGTTACATTGGACAATTGTCAAGCTACAGCCATGCTACGTGAGGATGGTAGTGTCTATTGTCACCATGAACTGCTCTTTGATCCAAACATAAGTAAGTTACAATGCGGATAGACTTATGGCTGCACACACATGCAGAAAACCATGACTCCTAAAGGTCAGGGTATGTAGTAGACACCAACAATTATTATTATGATTATGAAAATGTAGAAAAACATTTCACACTAGACTGTAAGTTACTCTGTGTACACAATGTATTGTTGCTGGTACACGCCTAACACAACACACAAAGTGCTTCTTTTTTTCATTTATTTCATTACTGTTCAGCAGCCTCTGTTTTTGAATTGATTAAACATGTGAAATTCCTGCACCATCATATCTTTTAGACAAAAAAAAAATACTTCACCACTCTATTTTTGAAATACAATTCAACCAGAAATATATTTACAAGGCCTTGGCATGCAAACCCTAGAGACATCAGTATTTATCAGTCTCAGCACAAAAATAAATTATGTGCATGATAAACTTGAATATTTGACTCACTAAAAAGCTTGTTGTCATTAAATTTGCGTGCAGTGATCATTATAATAAGAACAATTACCTCATTCTATTGCAGTAAAAAAATCCTTATTATAACAAAATAATTGTTAATTTCAGTTGCAGAATTTCCAAGAATAAATTATGATGACTGTAACGGTAAAAAGTACAGATATTTTTATAGTTCGGGACGTGATCTAATGCAGGTAGGTCAATCCTATAATATATATATACATACATACATACAGCAGATACAAGTAAAAAATACATTTAACAAATCCAATTGAAATTTGAAATCAATAACTAAACAACTAAATTAAAATTGTTTAACTGACATTGTTTCACCCATATCTGTGAGTTTGACATTTCATCACTAGGGTGTATTCGTGAAATATTTATGTCATTAAATATATGTACTATACAATAAATGTAGTATAATCTCGGAGCGTTACTTTAAATAAAATAAAATATGTGAAAAATTGTCATTTTATTATCCATGTTCACAAATTTGTTCATATTGAACGTCTTCATGAATAATTACAGTGGGCGTGACCAAGATTCATACAGGAAGTTATTAAACTCCCTAGGAAAGTCCTTGTAAACATTGCAAAATAGCAAGAATTTTCTTATTGGCGCTATTAAATAATCTAATGTTGTGAAAACAATTTGCTACATTTTGTGACAATCTTACTTCCCTTGACACCACTTGATTTTGGACTGATTAACTTTTGTTACATACTGAAACTAAGTTATTGTCTGTTTTCATATTGTTGTGACTCTACAAAGGAATTTGTAAATTATTTGTGGTCGCCTCAACCATCTGGGGGAAGTTGATGGGGTTATTGCAATATTGATAAGGATTTTTTCCCAGGGAAGTTGAAAATTACCCATACGAATCTTGTTAGCACTTGCTGTAATGGGATGCCTTGGTGTCATTTGTAACTAGCGCTATTCAGTTTTTCGATGGGTGTCAAGCACTTTATTGATTTTTTGTCTTACCAGCTTTTGAAATATGATCTAGAGAAAAGAACAATAAAGGCATGGAAGGAAGATGATATGTTTGGATCAGAGCCGGTATTTATTGCCAAACCTGGTGCTACAAAGGAAGATGAAGGTAGGTTATACTTGTATATGATAACCTTTTGTATAAACATGTGATATAATTTAACTTAATTTGACCCACATGTATGACCTGAGTGATATTGGACTAAAATATGAACATGTTCCTTGTTATTGGGTTCATATCAGCTTGAGCTTGATGTATGATACCTTGCATTATGGGTACTAATAACACAGTCTGTGTCTAAAGGCACTGAAACATCATAGGTGTGAATTGTTTTATTTACCTACAACAAAAGAAATTTGGTCAGCACAGTCTAAAGAGTAAATGATTTGATCTATGTCCCAAGTGTTAAGGTACATAAAAATGTGATGTATTGTTCATATTACATTAACAGGTGTAGTCATTTCATCTGTACTGTCAGGTGATGAAAAGAAGTCATCATTTTTACTAATACTTGATGGAGAGTCTTTTGAAGAAATTGGAAGAGCTGTGACACCTGCTCATGTGCAGAACTCATTTGGTGGGCATGGATTGTTTGATTTCACTATAAACTAGCTTCTAACAGCAGTAAGAATACCACCATTGTGATTTGCTGTTTGCATATAATATATATTATATTATTATATATTTGCAGTGGAATTTTAGAAAATATTAGTTCATAAAAATAAGCATATGCAGTTGTTCAGTACTGGATTTTAAAAATATATTAAATCATATTGGTACAGTAGTACTTCGAATAATAATTAAATAACTACATTTAGTTAAAAAGCACTTTATATTCTATGATGAATATATCCAGGTTGATTTCCTTCTTCTGATTTGCTATACACCCCTAAAAATACTTACCCCCGGTAATAATTGTTTAACCATATTGCAGTATTAGGGGATTTGATGCCATACTGTAATGTATTACAATGTGTTATGGGAGACACATTTCCATCAAATATAATGGTCAAAACACTTATTGGAAATCACTGATTACATTTTTAGCTCCGCTGCCGACTTTGTCGAGCAGAGCTTATCATCTGAGTGATTGTCCGGCTTATCATCTGAGTGATTGTCCGACGGCGTCCATCGTCGTCCATGTCAATGTTTTACTTTTTCGACTTCTTCTTGAAAACTACAAGCCTGAATGCTTTTATACTTGGTGTACCTTAGGTAGACCTCTCTTAGATTTGTTGATTTCATGATGATATCTTCAATTCTCTAATTTTGGTGAATATTTTTGTAATATTTGGTAAAAGTGATATTTTCGACTTCTTGTTAAAAACCACAATTCTTATTGCTTTGATATTACATATATTGGATCCATCTCAGATTTGTTCATATCATGATGATATCTTCAATTCTGCAATTTTAGTGAATATTTTTGTAATTTTTGATAAAAAGTGATATATTGACTTTTTGTCAACAAGTCTGATTGCTTTGATACTATACATATTGTTCATTTTAATGATATCTTTAGTTCTTTAATTGAAATGTGCATTGCTAACAGCAAAGCTATCGCAGCCGACAGGCTGCTTGTTTCTAGATTTAAAAACTATATGCAAATCCATGCAATTGAACACACACTGTATGCTGTATGGAATTCATTATTGTTACAAATTGTTGTGAATTACATTGATAAAAACTTATACTATATCATCTGTTAATGATGTAATAAAATGGTGTTTCAAAAATTGTATTTCTAGAAGTTAAGTTCTATCTACATACATATATATTCAATGTTATGTTTTAATTAATTTGTCACCAAATCCAATGGTGATCATTTTTAAATCAAATTGTCTGTAAGGCTGATGGTGATATATTAGACAATCTATTTACAAACATCAATGATGTTGGGATTTTAATCAGATTGAATTACTATGCTCAAGGGCATCACAGAACATTCAATGTTGCTAAGACATACACCACTGTACCATGTAATCCTATGGGCTCTGCATGCAAGCTGCTGTGGAACACTGGTCGAAGAGCCGATGAAAAAAGCTAACTCAAGAAAAACATCACAAACAACTATGAGACAATCCACAACCAATTTTATACATGTTGCACATGTTTGGGAAATGGTTTGAGAGTTTTCAACCATTGTTTTTCACTGGTTGTGGTTGCCAGGCAGGGAAAATGTCTGGATGTCCGTCCTGAGACAACCTGCCTTTCTTATCATTTATATTGTGGGACTACATTGTATTTGTTACTATTGATATGCAGGTGTTTT